TGATTCTGTGATTCTGTGATTCTGAGTTCTTTAGTAATTCTCATGTTCTGCTTCTTCTGTTTTGGGTTTGTTGTTGTTGTTTGCATTTGTTTTGGTTTGGTTTATTTGGGTTTGGTTTTTTTTTTTAATTTTTTTAGATAAGATACAAAGAATAAGTTGTAACAAATTCTACTCTTTCAAAGACATGGAGGGAGAAATACCTGATTTAATCAGCTTTTGTCTTTTATCTTTTTTTCAGAATAAGTAGGATGGTCTTGACTAGGAGTTAATATAAGTAGTAAGGTTGAAAAACACAATTTTGGTTAAAAATATTACTGTCTAAGATGGTGTGCAGTAGCTCTTCCTAGCTGTCCTTCACACAGCTCCTGCTTCCCCTTTCTTCATGCCCTCCCCTTTCTCTGTTTCCTCCCTTCGTAGCTAATTTGGTGGTACCCCTGCTTTTGCGGTACCCGGCCTTCAGAGGAGGGCAGGCAGAAGGCTCCATCAGGGACAATATTGTCACGACTTGCCATGGGGTGGGGATGGTGAATTGGCATTTCTTTGATGCATTGCAAGTTCCATCATGGTGATGTGCGCAGACGTCTGCTCTCCCAAATCAGCATTAACCCCGTTGGCATCTCCTGAATGCACTGGAGCCACTTATCCAGGGAATACTGGAACATGTGAGCACATTAGAAATCATCAGCCTCAGTGCAAACAGGAGATTGGGAAACATAAACAAAAAGCATGTTTTGTTCTGAAAAATAGAAGACAGCCCCATTATTTTCAGACTGAGATTGCCTAATGCAATTTATCTGTATTTATAGCTGTAGCCCGGATTTAGTAAGGGACAAAACAAGAGAAGATGTTTTTTTCAGAGCTCATCCTTTTTCTGTGTCATCAGCGAGTTTTTTTATCCAGCTGATTTTCTTCTGGAACTAAAATATTCCATGCTGACATAACAGGAACCTGAGAAAAACCATTCAGGTATTAACTGCCTAATTCTGATGTGTTTCCCAAAGTAAGTTTGAGGGTTAAAATCACCATTGCTCATTTTTGAAGTGTTTATGGTGCTTTTTTTAGCATTCTGTCAATCGTCTTTGTACTTCATAAGGAACATCCTTCCAGTTTTTGGTAAAATAATTCAATTTACTGGAGCAAGAACATTTTTATATGTTACACGTTTTTTTCCAAAGTTGGTGAGGAGTTTCTTTGATTTTTTTTTTTTTTGTTTTCCTTCTCTTTTTTTCCAATAGAAAATGCAGTTTGGAAAGTTAAGTTTTACTTAAAAGCTTTAATTTTTCCGTTAAGAGAATCCACATTTCAGTGGCTGCTTTGCCCAGAAGGCATGTGTCAGTTCTGCTTGGTCCTTGCAGAGGCAGCAGGAAAAGCCCAGCTGGGCTCTGGGGCAGCACAGGCTGGGCACACCGCCCTCGGCTGCCTTGCTGCAAGGCTCCAGCGAATGCCACTTCCCGAGAGACACCAGTGAAGCCAATAACAACCTTCCCAGTAGGCAACTGGTAAGGCAGGAGAAATATAATTTCACTGATCTGAAAAAAATCCTTTTCTGGAAAATGTTGCCCATTAAACTTTTGTGCGTACCTTTTTTACTTTGTCTTGAATTGGAATAAATTACTCCTACTCCCTTTGGAAACACAAGATTTTGTTCATAGAGAAAGTTTTCAATTTTCTGTATTGGCTTATTTTTCTCCCTCCTATTTTTTTTCTTTTGTATGTTCATTCTTCCATTGTCTCTTGAAGGAATTTCTGGGGGTGTTAAGGCAGGGTAGGAAAGGTTAGCCAAGATCAATTTTATACTAATTAATCATCTATAAAATATATAGAATGGAGATCTTATCACAGAATTGCTTTGTTGTTGGGCATTCATACTGCAATCAACACATTTTTACCTGTCACATAATTATAGAAGTTAATGGGTAGTGGAAAATTTTATATTGAAGTAGAAATTTTATACTAACATATGACGCATGCTGGAAATTTCTTTTTTTTTCTCTTTCTCTCTTTTTTTTTATTTTTTATTTTTTTTTTTTTTTTTCAGCCAGTACAAGGCTTTGACTATGCCAAGCAGCACTTAGGTCAGCAGGGAGCTGAAGATGAGGTTTTACCTGTAACTCAAGAGACTGTCATACTTCCACTTCCAGTCAGAGATGCTCCTTCCTCCCAGGAGAGAGAAATTACTCAGGACGGGAGCACCATCAAAACTGCCAAATCCAATGAAACAAGGAAGAGGTATGGACTGGCATGTTTCTGCAGAGGGGTTGAAGGGGGTACATGCTGCTGGTTGCTTTGGAAAAAACCATAAGGTTTGGTGCCCAGGCTCTATGTGTGGCAGATGGTTCCTCGATGATATATTCTTGGCATTATGCTGGTCTGCACTGGATGTGTAACGATTGCTGCAAAATGCAAGATAAAATAAAGTGAAGTCTTTACAGGTTGTACATGCATAGAGGAGGTAAACGGGAGGTTGCTCTCATACGCATGCTGGTGTTGTACAAGAGGTGAACCCAAACGAAACATGGGATCTGGAGCAAGAACACTGATTGTTTCTCAAATGAACCAAAAGGCTGGACCTCACCAGTACCACCATGGGAAGGGCCGTGCTGGAAGGTGTCGGTCAGAATGGCGCGGGGTGGAGGACCTGGTGCTGCTGCTGCTCATGAAGGGGTAGACCTCTCCATTGGTCATAAGCTGAGGCTTTCTCTACAGAAAAACAGAAACAGAAGGATCCTGAGCTGCTGTCTGTTTTGGCACACTTCTCTGGTTGTATAGGAAATCACCTGGAATATGGAGAGAGAGTCTGCAGGGAGTACCAACAGAGGAGAGTAAGCCAGCCGAGACCTCCCCTGGTTTTGCTTCACTGGGCTTGGGTGTAATCTGTTATTCTGCCCTTTAATGTCAACTGTGTGTTGTTCACACCATAAATCACTCAAACTGTGAGAGTCAGGTTATAAAGTCTGTGTGAACCAAGCAGCACTTTTGGAGTCTGATGAAACGACAAGTGGAAGGTGACCATGGCTGTTGTTGCTGGTGCTGGACCACCACAGGTTAAGTCTTTGCAGGAACTGTTCTTTAAAGTATTTTGAAGCCTCTCCAAAGCTGTGTGTAAATACACACCAAAGAATGTAAACCAGCCCTATTAATTAATCCTCTTAAAAAAAGCGATTAAGCACTTCAGTCCTTTGAATAAGTTCAGAAATACTCCTCTACTTAATCTACACAATTTTAAACAAATGTTGATAAGCAAATCGATCCAGGAATTCACAGGAAAGTTTTTCTCATTATAGAATGTGTTGCACCTTGGTGCCTTTCTAAGTAAATAACCGAGAGTTAGTTTTGACTCCTTCAGGGTGATTACTTGAGTAAGTGAGAACATGCAGAATTTCAGTCTTTTTTTCATTCCCAGGAGCTATGTCTGGGGATGGAATTTAATAGTTTCAGAAGATGAAGAAATATTTCTTGACCTTTATGTATTTGCTCTTTCATCCAGGCTACTTTGCAGCCTGGAAAGGTCAATTTAAATCAGACTGCCATGAAGTGGCTGGTAACTGATCAGAATATCTTCTCTAATATTACCACTGAAGGAAACTTCACAGTTAATAATAATATGAAGGCCACTTTAAAAGGATGAATATTGAGATTGGTGGCAGCAGAAGCCATTGTGATGAATCAGTGCTCGCTTCTTTTCCTTGTTCCCAAGTGGAGCGGACTTTTTTTCAGGTGTTGATCTGTCCCTGGATGAATTCTTTTACTGGGCTGGGATTATTCACTAATAGTGACAGACAGGTTTATGGGAGAGAAATGCTACTTATCTAGAATATTTATTCTCAGCATAATTTCACAAGAATATCCCCAGGCTGAGCTGGGTTGCGTGCTGAGCTCTCCTAAAGCCCTGCAGCCAGAAAGAACCTGTCTCAAATTATATATATTTCCACCTAGGCTATCTTCAAAAGAGGGTCCCTAAGAATTACTTTTCTCATACTTGTACCTTCGTGTTCTGACCACAGTAAATCCTCTCTCCTTACACCAGACAGGGCAGTCAAAACTGGAGGTAAATGAATGTTTCAAGCTGCCAATACAGGATGGGCAATAATTTACAGGATGGTTCTTACAGTAGTTTTGCTTTAGTACCATTTTCTGGGTATAAAGCCATTGTGACAGCAATAGAACTTGATTGGATTTTTTTCTCTGTAAATGAAAGTTATTGTGACTAAGTAATTTTTTTTTTTTTTCTCTGATGCAGCCATTTCACATTACCCTGTCATTGGCCATGGCAATTCAGTGATAGATTGCAGGTCCTGTAGATAGCTTTCATTGTAGCATGTTTCACATGTAGGAACAATGTGACACTGGGTCTGGATGTGGAGTAGCGCCAGATTTTACATTTTCTACTTTGGCCTGCTTTTTCTAACTTGTGCATTAGGATTTGAGTAATTTACCCCCCCCAAAAAAAAGAAGAGAACTTCTGCTGAGAGCTTGCTCCTGAAGCAGCCCAAACTTACCCCACTCATTTCCGTGCTTGCTCCTTGTTGGGACCAAACGCTGGCAGCGGTTCTGCTCTGCCATCCTCATCCTCTGCAGGGACCAGTGTCAGGGCAAGGATAGGCAGCGGCTGTGTAAAACAAGCATTTTCTTGGGAATTCCAGAAATAATGGTGCTGGTTAACCATGTTATATGCAAAAAGGTAAAAAGGAGAATTTTCTTATCATGTGTGTGTATGTGTAAAGTGAGCTAGTGAATTTGTCACTGTGGCTGACAAAACAATTGAGTGTAAATGCAGGCTAAATAATAAAGGATTTAGTTTAGCCATATAGATAAAAACAAAGGTCTGCTTTATTTTATCTGTATAAATGACACTGAGTTGATAACAAGGCTTTTTGTCCTCTGCAGTCCTGCTTCTGTCATTGTGGGGGTTGTGCGTGAGAAGTGTTTGCTTTCAGTGCCACTAAGATGCCTATCAGCCCCGAGCTAATTGAGAAATCCTGTTCTCCCATCGCTCTGTTCCTGCCGGTGCTGGGTTTCCATGTGCAGCTTATATTCTATCTCCTTTTGGTACAAAATCAGACTTGAAAACTCGGTGATGCAAACTGTGTGAATGAAATAACCTTGAAATGAGGTTTATGAGGAAGAACTCACAGCCTCCCTTGTTGCTATGGTTACTTGCAGCCGGTCCCCAAGTCAGAATGGCTCCATCATCAGCAACGGGTCGGGAAAGCCCAGCTCCAGCCGGAGCTCCCTCCAGAAAGTCATGGCACCGCCAAAAGTGACAAAAGACGAAGGAAGGAAAAGAAACGGTGAGAAGGGTTTCTGGGTGAAAACTGCTTGTGGTCACCCCTGTAGCTGTACCCACATAGGCACTGGCTATGCTGAAACCATTTTCCTGTGCCTTTAGCAGTACTTCGGCATTTTCTGTTTGTAGCTGGCATGTTGGAGGTTTTTTTTCCCCCCCTTCACTGTTTCTCAACCTCCCATGAAACAGTGTGGTGTTTACTCTTTGTGTGGGCCTTTGCAAGCTTGCATTCTTTTTTTTTTTTTTCTTTAAATACCAGTAAACAAATGAGGACATGATGCTGTGTAGTAGGTGGACAGGATTTACAGCTTTTTTTTTTTTTTTTCTGTGTAGAGCCCTAAGATATTAATTTCCATTACTGCTGTTGCTGAGCTGGCCCAGATCTGATGTAGATAAATTAATTAGGTAAAAATTAATTTGAGAAAGTGTGAGACATCCAGAGCTTTCACTTTCCATCTCTTATCATCCTCATCATCCCTTTTTGTTATTAACACTTACTGACGGCTTTTCTTGATGCACCTAGGATGTTATGCTGGGTGTTTTTTACAAGTCCTTGGCTGATGGCGGTGACCTTGTGACTTGAGATATATCAGGAACACCTGAGGAGAGCAGAATGCAATCCCCTTTCTTCCTCGCTTTTCTTTTATCTGTCTCACTGCTTATTTCTCTTGAGTTACAGCTTTGCTTTCATGGCCATATTTTCTGTATAAATAGAAAACACTGTGGTTGAAGCAATTGATCATCTCCCTCTAAGGGGAGGGAATTAAACTGGATATGGTCTCATCAGATCCTGTCGTGAACACAAGTCTGTAATTCTTTGTTAAAAATGTAAGTGTGGAAAGGAGGACTCGGATAAAGAGAAAAGCTTAGTGTAGATCTCTTCTTTCTCTGATAACTCACCCGAGTAACCTGTGTGGAGGCGATCCTGGTATCAAATCATATCATCCCCTGACGATCATTATGCCTAATACTAAAGCATCACACAAAGGCTTTGCTGCTCTAGCAGGAATAGGGTACAATATGGAGACAGATACGTAGCACTGGAGATGGCCTTTGTTCTGTACAGCAAAATCATGTGGTGTTTTTTAAGTGTCCTCTGCTCTTTCCACACGTGTACCGCATGTACCACAAAGCATTGCATCTTCTGGGGACCGTATCCTTGATACAACTGCAGTACTCTGTGTTTAAATCGGCTTCACTGCGATTTGTGCACACTTGCAAATTCACACACAGGGAAGTGAAGCTGTTAATTTTCTTTTGTTATGTGTTTGTCACCTGTACTGCTTGCTTCTGACAGACCTGTGACTCTGCTGATTACTCCAGACCTGTAATAATAAGTATCCTGACTGGCCTTTCTCAAAGAGGTGTCTTGGTTTTTCTTTCATAGACAGCATAACGATATTTCATTGTTCTCATTTTCAAGGATCATGATTATTTTTTCACTGTTTCAAATGTAGCTCATTTTACGAGACAACATTTATGCTTTACAGACTTAAAAGCTGTAATTTATGCTTTTTTTGTTCCCTCCCCAGGAAAATCAATGTTCTAAAACAGTGTCAAATGGTGTTTACACATGTAGGCAAAATAATTTAGTGAAGGTATTTTTTTTGTTTTGTTAGGTTTTAAATCTTCAAAGAAAATTGGTAAGAACTTCCAGTTTCTTTGGAAAAAATTGACTAACACCTAACATCCTCTCTTCTGAGCTGGACTGTAGTGCATTTCTAGAACATACACATGCTACTTAAAGAAACCTTTCAATATAGTATAAGGGAATACTGACCCTTTATTATAAATCCTAATTTCATTATAATTTTAGCTTCAATTTTATTAGATAACAATAACTATGCCCTTTTCAAATTATGCTGGAAAACTAATAACTGCTTTATTTACATGTTTATTTTACCTTCTGTCTTCTGAAAATAAGCTTCAATAATGATGTTACTTAATTTGGTCAAGGTGCTCCTTATTCCACACAGCTACATGATTTCTAGATCTAGTACCACAGGGAAAACATCTTTAGTGTATCCTCCATTCCTACCAGGGGTTCTTCTCCTTTGCTGCTACTGCATGCTGGCACCAAGATTTTTTGCTCCTGGGGCAGAAAGGAAAAGCTGGGTTTGCCTATTTAAATAGTAGCTGTGCAGCATCTATACAAAACATGAAGCAGATAGGCTGGTTCCATCTGACTGTTCTGGCTTTGAAGAAACCTGTGCACCCAACACCTCCTCTGCAGAGCCCTCCTGGGAGAGAGATATTTAAGAGAGTTTCCTGATACAACTCTCTCAGAACAACTTCTGAGAGGGAAGATGTGGTCAAGGGAGATGAAATGGCCTCCCCCTTACCAGAACGATGGAGCTGGCCCCATGTGTATCCTTACATGCATGTTTTTGAATTTTGAGTTGTGTGGTCCCAAATGCCCATTGAAGTTGAAGGCACCTGTTACTTTTCATCATGGAGCTAATGCTTTGTTCCCCAGTGCTACGATTTCAAACGCTGTTGTAATCTCTGGTGTTTTGTTGGTTTTGCAGGGTTTTATCTTTATCCAGTGTGATTAGCATCAATAGAATACGTTGGCTGTTTTTCCTTCCAGTTTAAGAAAGAAGCTGCTTTTCTTCTGGATGTTTGCTCCAGCTCTCTAGCCTGGCCATAGGCTGACGCCTCCAATGCGCATGTCAGCAAAGGCAGCAGCATATTTTCTTCTCTGAAAAGCAGCATCTTAGAACTGGAATGGATCCCTTGATGGTCACATGTTTGATTTGGGGACTCCAAGTTAGAATGGCTCATTAGTTGCCATAGTTACGGACCAATTTTAGATTCTATTTCTTGCTGACATTTAGTTATACGGAAAAATGACAGCACTGGATGTTACCTCAGTACATAAACTCTATATGGCTTGTATCAAAATTGACTCCAAATGGAGCGTGTCAGGGCTGAGAGTGAACAATGTGAAACCAGCAGAGACTGACAGGCTTGGCTTAAGGACCTGACGTTTCAGAGAAGAGGGAGAACTCTTTAGCTGAGCATTATTTCTACAGAAAACATGAATAAAATACCTATTTGGATTACAGTAGTGATAAATTTTGGTAGAATAATTGCATTTTTAAATTTTGTTTTCCTTGGAAAACATGAATTAGTATTTTAATAGAAAGTTTTCTTTCTAAAAGTTGATGAGTTGTGCTTCCCTTTACTTTGGGCACTTAGAAAAAAAAAAAAAGTAAGCATTAAAGCCTTTTAAAAAGTGTCTAAATGTGTACATTAGAGGACTGTGAGATGAACGAATCTGCCAACAGCAGTACTGGCAATTTCCAAGACGGGTTTGTAAGAGAGCGTGGAAGCGAACAACAGGATATTAGCCCTTTCACTTGTCATTTTATCAGGCCTAACATCATTCAGGGCGAAGCAAAGGGCTGAACCCACGTGTACTTAAAGAACTCCAGTAGCCTATAATAAGTTTTCTTTCACCAGCTCCTCACAAAATTGAGCCAGTGACAGTTATCTAGGTTGTTTCTCCGACCTTTAAGTGCTTGATCTTGCAACCTCCCCATTAGCATCTTCAGGAGGGTGTGACTGCTTGTTTTGAGAAAAGCAGAAACTTTAGTTTGCTCGCAGTTCTTAAGGAAGCATCTGACTCCCTCCCTAGCTTTTGGGCTGAGAATTCATATAATTGAGCCGAGTTTTGTACTTGAATCTCACCATCATGAAAGGACATGCATCACAGGTGAATATTTCCAAAGAGTCAAACTTGTGTAAGAAACCTTCCTTTCCTCCTCCGAGGAATCCCAGCTAGAGCACTTTTTCTCATCTTCCAAGGATTTGGACATTGTCTTTAAAAATAGATGTAACTTGTCAGAGGCAGTTCAGTCAGAGGCCTCGCTCCTCTTTAAAATACCAGACTCTAAGACTATCATTTTCTCTGTTCAGGCAGAAGCTGTCATATAAATTTTTAATTCTTTTTTTCCTTCTGTTCTTTGTAGGGATATCTGAAAATCAGGTGTCTGCCGGAACAAAGTACCAGGGAGGAAAACTTGGCTGCATTATCAGCTTATCTAAAATCAAAGGGATTTTGGGGTGTAACTCAGCCAAGCTATGATTCGCCGCCTTCTTTATTCTATGGCAGTGTGGGCCACCAATTTTCACACTGCCTGATGTGGCAGCTCAGCATCAGAGCCAGCTTTGCTGAATTTATGAGCAGTTGTCTGTAGCGACTCAAATGAAAACTAAATATGCCAACAGCAGCTGAATCCAGTAGCAGCGATGCAGCAGTGTCCTACCCAGAGTTAGCTGGAGGATGTGCCGTATCCTAGCAAACGTCCAGCACCCTTCATCTGCCTTTTCTGTGCTGGGTGGGGTGAAATACAAGTTAGAGTGGAAAGGGTTTCATCTTGCCAAATTTTGGTCCTTTAAACTTGACTTCCTAATCTAACCTAACCAGGTAGGTTCTCCAGTGATGCCAGAGTGTCACCGCTAATTGGGACAGATCTCTGCTCTGGAGGTACTTGCCTTTCCCTTTCCAGGATGGAAAGAGCCCAGAGAGCTGCATCAGAGCGTATGCACGATTCAAAGTGAGATGATTCCTTTTCATGATGCCTGTGTCTCAGAAAGGCTGAGAAATCAGAGTCCTGGGAAGAATTTATGGTGTATAGAGAGATTTTCTCTAAAATGAAAAGTGTTTCCAGATTATTAATTTACATTCAGGAGTAAAGATTTCTGTTTGAAATACTCTTATGCAGGTTCTTTCCTAAGGAAACAGTCTTTTAGATCTGTGGCATAGTTTAATCTTTGTCAAATTTATGATTTTCATTTAATATAATCTATTTGTTTTCCTATTATTTTAAGTCCTTCCAGTACTCAGAGAATTCATTGCACACTATAGATATGGTTATAGTGTTTGCAGTCCCTTCATACAAAAAAAAAATATTTGAAAATCTTTAATGCTTCATTGAATAATCTGGAGAAAAGGCAGAGCACGTCTACCTGCTTGTGAGTGTTTCCTGTGTTTTGGCTTCACGTGTTTCTCCATCTATGTCATTCTTTTTCTGAGGACTTCCAAAACCGGTCAAATGGTTGCTTCTGAGCAGGAGAGCACGTCTTTGTTTCAAGTATTTTATTGTAGGGTTACCTGAACTGCAGATAATTTAGATTTCCTTAATTTTTATTTTAACAGGTAAGTATTTCAGTCCTCCTTTTCTTCCTTATAACATATTTTGATTTGGGAGATGGGAGGAAAAACAAGGTG